TTGTACAGTATGACAGTTGTCACATAATAGGGTTGATTGGAGAGTGATTTGGAAAGAGAAGTTCCCAATATGGTTCGAGTTATAACAATAGAGTACTGCAATAAGTCAATTCACATGATCAGTAACTTTGAGTTCAACAATCCTGTTTACAGGATAGATCATTTCACATTCAACACCCGTCCCAGTTTCAGTTTGAACACTGAAAATGGATCTTCAGGCTTCCAAGGATCAGAGATACTCTGCACAATACATCAAATTTAAACAGTACAAAAAATTAATCTTCTTATAAAAATATAATTTCATCTTCAGAGTCTACAGTATTACTGTATTCTATTTGTACGGGGACTCATTCAAAAATAATTTCTAAATAATAAGGGTTTGACAATAACAGCTCCACCATCTACTGAAACAGGAATCCTGTCTTTTGTATTTGTATCATTTATAGTTCACTAAACAAGTCTTAAAATTTAAAAGGTTACGGAGTCATGCATGCCTAAAATCATCTAGAAAAAAATTAATCCGTGTAAACCCAACCTAAACATTCTTTGATTGACGGGTCAAGAAGCATATCATTGAGTTACATGATTACAGAAAAGTACCTACAATTATCAAAAAGAAACTTACCTTTGCAAGGGCCATGAATACTGCAGGATTGTCGAGAGGCTGCAAGAGAGAAAAGTTTAAAAAAAAAACAGAAAGGGACAAAAAATTACTATCGTCTCCAATCTTTCCTTTTCCTCATTCTTTTTTTATGGCTCCAAAGGATTTGTGAAGGTTTGAACTCTCACTTTTAGCAGAGAGGGGACAAGGTAGCCAACTCAGCTAGGAAACGAATAATGAACAACCCCCGAATATATTCCACAATGAACAACAGTTTCCCACAGGAAAGAACACTAAAGGAAATCAAAATTCTCTGAAATATACTATTTATATTAAATGACAAGCAAAGTAATTACAAAGATTAACAGTATTTCCTGATACATACCCTACATTACAGGGCAAATCGGTACAGAGATTAAGCTCACCTCATAATACCTCGGCCGTGCTCTACTAATCAACATGTTTGTTTTGATACAGGAAGGAATGCAACCGGAAGTTAGCCAAAAGTGTCTTGCACCAATAAATGAATTTGGGATATCTCCCAAGGGAAGGGACCCTACTACACAGTGATACTATTCAAACTCATATCCCGAAAAAGGACCAGCACTCTGACTAGATGAGGAAGTTTTCCTCTTATTCAATTATGAGGGAAGTAAATTTAAGTGTTGTCAAACTGATTTTTCTACCCGAGC